AAACAAAATAATTATTAAGTTACACAAATAAATAAATTTTAATTTTAATTTTAATTTTAATCATTAATTAATTAAAATAATATTATAATTTTAAAATACATATATTTTTTTCAATTCTTAAAAAATAAAGGAATAAACACTAACCTTATTCTTTAATAATCTGAAAATTTTATTTTCCCTTAAACCTGTATACCACTTAACTTACATTTCTATTTCAAACTTGAGACGTCTCACTCATCATAAAAAACTTACAGGATTGGAGGGTTGACTTCACGTCAACCGCATTATTGTTTTGCCCTTTTTACTGTGCCTTTCTTTAGTTAATTTTCATTTTCCTTTTGGCTTCACCTATAAAATCATTCAAAAGGAGTCCACATCTATTGCATATTTAGAGAATATATCAGAGCCAGATCGAGAGGAAGCAATCAACAACCCATGCTTAGTTGCAAACTCTGTAAGTATTTACTTCCGTCTCCCTGCCTAGCTATCTTTTTCTTCTGCTTTCTCTCTTCTTTTCTTTTTTTTCCTTTTCTTTTCTTTTCTTTTCTCTTTTTTGGATGATTTTGTAGTATTGGTTATAGTACAAGGTGTACAACTTATGATCTGTGCTTGTACCTTTCTCCAGGTATTGCATCATTGTGGTGAAATCTTGATATCCATACTCCATTTCAAAGGGTGTAAATTTACATTAATTATTCTCAAATGATCAGTGAAATTTGTTATCTGATGACATTAAAGAAGTTATATATGTCAATTAGGTATGTAAGAGTTTCCCTTAATTTCTTCCAAGATTGCGCTCTTTATATATATATATATTTATTAAATCTCTTCTTAATTTATTAAAAATTTAAATTTAAAATCTTTAAATTAAAATTATCAAATTTAATTTTAACTAATTAAGTCTTGTTGAGACTTCTTTTTTTCCCTTTTTGAACAAAAACATACGTAACTACAAAAACATTAATTTACAAAAATTTTAAAATTTTTCTTTTTGCTTAAAAAGTTTTAAATACTCTTTATTTATTTTTTTAATTGTCTATAAATGTTACACTTGTATTTCAAATTTTGAGATATCGCCTTTATTTTCAAAATTTTGTAAACGGAGGACTGACTTCACGTCAAGGAATTATTGTTTTTCTCCCTTGACACTGCGTTTCTTTAGCTAATTTTCATTTTCCTTTTGATCTTGATATATAAAATCATTTTAAAGCAGATCTAAATGATCGACTGCATATTAAGAGAATCTCAAAGCCAGATCGAGTGGAAGCAATCAACTACACATGCTTGGTGACAAACACTGTAAGTATTTACTTCCACCAACCTATCTACGTACCTTCTTCTGCCTCTTTTTTTTTTTGTTTTTTTGATGATTTTGTAGTATTGGTTATAGTACAGGTCTACAACTTATGATCTGTGCTTGCACTCCCTTCTCCAGATATTGCATCATTTTGGTGAAATCCATATTCTACTCCAAAGAGTCTAGAGATTTACATCACATCCTTCTCCAGATATTGCATCATCTTGGTGAAATTTATACTCTACTCCAAAGAGTATAGATTTACATTAATTAGTTTCAAGCAGTTTGTGAAATTTGCTATCTGAAATAGAAGAAACCATATATCTCAACTAGGTATGTAAGACTTCATTTCTTCTCAGATAGTAGATACCTCATTTGTTTCTATCATGGGGTACGTAATGTTTCTCCGGAATCAAGGATACAGGCCCACAGCCGTTGATTACGTGAGGTGGGGACCACTGGACCAGAGGACATCGTGCGGACAACGAGATTTTTTTTTTTTTCGTGGGGGGGAAATTTCCTAATGGTCCCAAGTATGTGTCATCAGAAAATGCAAGGAAAATTCCGTAATGGCAAGAACCAACAACGAAACAATTGAGGTATTTAGAAGTTAGTAATGATTTTGTCTCATTTTTAGAAAGGAGGAACCAGAAATGAATGATATTTTCTGTGAAAATGCAGGTATGAACCTACTAAACCAATGAAAAAAATAAAAATAAAAACTTGGTGGCAGAATAAAAATTTCATGATCGCTGCTGCA